ACAATTAAATCTGAATTACAGGTAATTGGAGAGAAATTACATAACCAGGCAAGGCCTCTTGTGTGGGTCAAATTCAAAAAGAAAATTCCTTACTTTATCCCCCCCCCTCCATTCAGCTGTATTTATCACTCTCTTCAACCACTTTTTCCCCTTTCCCTCACATTGAAATATCTAACTTGCTTTCAAGTTGCCCTATCTCAGTGGGCCAACTGGGTTCATTCTGGGATGTAAATAACTGCGATACTGTCTCTTTTCCTCTCTGTACTTGAATCCTTTACTTAAGGAAATGACTAAATCCCTTCATTCAACACGATCTTAGTTATCCCCTTCAAACACACTGTGCCATTGATCAGCTCACCATTTCGGTAAAATGGCGGCGCAAACATTTTGTCAGCTTAAGCATGCAATGTTATGACCAACTTGAAGGATTGCCCTCCACCTTCTCCTCGCAAGTAATGACTGTCGGCATCTGGGGTCTAGAAATATATCAGCATTTTCTGAGAGTTCTTGAAAGCAGTCAGCAGTCACCATTCCTTTTGGTACAAGCTGCTGACAGCTATCCTGTCCACAGCAATGCCTGAACAGACACTGACCACTCTGTCACAGGCACTGATCTTGCAACTCAGGTTTTGAGGCAGTGCTAAAAGCAATGGTGTGGGTTTTGAACACTGTAAACACTAGAAGGCAGTTTCCTGCCCAATCCTCCCAATTCTCTCCTTTTAACAGTCAGAGACAGGTCTATCTTCTCTGCACAGGCTCCCTCTTCTCTCCAGTTTGTTTCTGGGTATTTAACTCACTCTTATCGATCTCTGGTCTACGACAGCTTTCAGACCCCAGCTTCCTAACGTTTATGGCTCTGTGTTAACTCAGAATGACAGTCTGTCTGGGCCCTGCCACCCTCTGTTCTCTGCAACGTCTCTGTAGCTGTAACACTATATTCTGCACTCTATTCTATTACCTTGATATACTTATGTAAGGTATGATTTGTCTGGATAGCACACCATACAATATTTTCACTCTATCTTGGTACATGTGACAATAATAAATCAATGTCAGGATGCCTGGTCAGGCTGTTTATTGAAGGTATGGAATTTTTGTCCAAATGCCTTTGGCTCTAATGGGTATATACTGAAAACAGCCTCTTTTGTTGCCTGTTATTATTAAACGAGCAAACTTGAGTACTTCAGCACATAGGTTTGAGTCAAATTTGGTTCTGTCACCAGAGCTGGTTTCCTTCTCACTGCCCAGCTTGAATCGTCTCCACAGTAAACTCATTCATTTTGCCTTTCTTAGGAATTCTTTTTGTCTTTCCAATTTTGATACATCCCTACTTTCTAACCCTAAATGTTCTGCTGTCAGTATTTCTATTTCTGATTTCCTGGCTTTTCAGCAGAACTCCGCATCTAAATGCTTAGCATATTTAATTCTTCCAAAGAAAGAAGAGGCTTTTCATTTTCCCTGTTACTTCATCCCACTCTATAGAAGTTTTAACATTGAACTTGGACATCACAGTACTTTTAAATCATGGAGACTCGAGGAAAACTTTTGGCAATTTTTAAATTTAAAACCCCAGTTTTTGAAGGCACAATTTGTTTTAACACTCCAATTTGTTCATTAGAAAGTCTGAATAATACTCCATATTATATTAAGGTAAGGAACAGTAAACACTTCCTGCTTTTTTAAAACCTCTCATGATTAGACAGAACAGATATTTTTGTTTAGCCATTTTAGCACACAGCTATCACACTTCAATTAAATTTGGTTAACCACATCAAAAATGAAGGAGCTAGAAAGGAAAGGCTTTCTAGAGTGAAACAGCAGAATTTTAATCAGAGGAAGAATGAAAATGTCACAGCAAAAACTCGCAAAAAAACCACAGGTAATGAGCATACAACAAAATTGGCATTACAGGATGGAGGACAGGAGGGATTTTTAGCAGAAACAGAAGGATTTGCAGTTTACAGCGTTTTCTTAAGAAAAAAGAAAAAAAACACGTCTTTCGGCTGCGAGTGTGAAACCTGAAAGCCAACTGAAGAAGAACATTTTCTGAAGAAGGGTCTAGGCCCGAGACGTCAGCCTTCCTGCTCCTCTGAAGCTGCTTGGCCTGCTGTGTTCATCCAGTTCTACACCTTTTATCTCAGATTCTCCAGCATCTGCAGTTCCTACTATCTCTGAGCCAACTGCTTAAGCTGTTTTTAAGACACAGAGCGCAAGTGAGACAGCCAGAGAGTGACACACACACACACATATACAGGGAGTGGAAGAGGCGTGGAGAGAGAGAGATATAGAGGGACCAGGAAGCTCTCTGCATTCTTACTATGTTCAGCCATGCTGCTTTATCTGCCTTTCCCGCTCGAAGCCAATTACAGAAATACATTTGGCTCATACACCAAGTCTAGCTCTATTGTCTTTGCTGGTAACTTCTTCACTCCAATATGGAAGTCAGGGTAGGGAGGGAAAAGAAATGAGTGAATAGGTGCAGGTGGGGGAGAAGGAGAGAGACAGAGACACAGAGACAGAAGGCCTAAGATGGAAGGCCTTGGAATTTGCCATGAGGGTGAGGGAAGGTGTTGGAAATGGAGCAGTGGACCAGGGTGTCCTGGAGGGAATGGGCCCTGTGAAATGCTGAAATGGAGGGGAGGGGAATGGGTGTTTAGTGGTGGCAGAAATGGTGGATAATGATCCTTTATGAAGTAGAAGGTTGTCAAAGGATACAGCGGGATATA